CTCGTGGTCGCCACTCAAGAACTTTCCTGCCCCAGCGGCCATCAGCTCTTCGAGCTATGTGCTAAAAATATTCGCTAAAATCAAGTGGCAGTGGGCGGGCCACTGCCACTTGATTTTAGCGATTCTGCGGGCTATGTCAGTCACTCTGGTTCTCCTACGGATCTCTTCATTTCAGATTCGATCACGCAGGGAAACTCCGAGCATAGCACGCTCCATCGCTCTTTGGGTGACCTTGAGCCTTCTTATGAGGCCCATAGTAAGCGACCACCGACACTAGTTTGCAAACTCAACTATTTATTTATTTAAAAGCCATAAAATCTATACGAGTAAAAGCTAAAAACTTTTCAGAGCTAGGATGAAGTTTTTTTAATGCATTCATGTCTTGGAATTTAGGAAAATGGTGTCAACAACCCAATTGTGTAAAAACTACACATTTTGCGGTAAGTATAATAAGTTCTTGTCCACGTTAATGAATAACTAACCTACAGTATTACTTAGCCGCTGCTATGAATATTCAATAGGACATGCCCCACTAATTAATGGACTTAGTTACATTTTATGTTACTAGAGCAAAATCTAGGGTAGTTCTACCTACGTATAATGGACGAAATAACTGAAAAAGCGAATCTCGTAGAGACGATGGCCGTTGGGGCAGGAAAGTTCTCGAGTGGCGACCACGGGCTGGAAGACGTAGCGTGGGCAGGCCTCCTACTAGGTGGACCGACGATCTGGTAAAGGTCGCGGGAAGAGCCTGGATGCGGGCAGCGCAGGACCGTTCATTATGGAAAACCTTGGGGGAGGCCTTTGTCCAGCAGTGGCCTTTGGCTGGAACGAAACGAACTGAAAAAATGGACTCATTATAGTGGTTATTTCAAGTACTCTAACGCCCGTATTCACTAACGATTGCTTAACTTAAGTGAAGCAGCAACGCTATGCGAAGTCTAATGCACAACGTTGAATAGAGCTCTGTGATTGGTTCGTGTGTGTCACTCCGCCACTCAAGTATTGTCCATAGACAACCTATTCATAAATAGGTTTTAATTTAGTTGCGGGTCAAATGACAGTTTAACTTTCCCTCGGGACAAACTTGACCTTCACTGGTAGGCTGTGGATGCTGGCTACACAGGAGTTGCAGCGGTGGGAACGAGAGGTGGGAATAGTCCCGTTTAGCTGACTAAGGCCCGGTTTTTTGATTCGTAGTTAAAATAACAAATTGTTAAATTTTGCTACTAATGGTTAAATATTAACAAAATGTTAACTAATAGTTTAAAAATGTATTAAAAGTCAAGCTAACCATTGTTCGAAAAACATTTTTTTCTAATGTGGTTAAATACCACTTGTCATTTGACATCTGTCAAATTTGACCATTGGTTATTTTAACTACGAATCAAAAAACCGGGCCTAAGGTTAAGAGAAAACAAACGTAGTTAATGGTTTTAGTGATTGATAACTACCATGTGCTCTTCATTTGTTTCCCATGACGTCTAGACAAATGAATTTACCCAGACGAGTTAGAGACAACTTATATTTGCGTCGAACAGTTAGATAGTACGAGTATTTCTCAGACATTGGCTCTTTGCCAAAATTGGTAACCTAACCAAAATATTTTTGGCCAGCCAGTGTGAATTTGGTTGGCATGTTTAAGTTTTAATACTAACATGTCAGCAACATATCCAGTAAATAAGTTAGATGGCTCAAAATGTGCTGGTTGAGTTAGATAAAAATAATACCTCTTAGGGAAATGCCACTGCCAATTCAAATGTAGTTAATTTGATCCCAATCGACTGCTAAACTATAGATAAACTGTGTGAACTGAAGCGTATTTAGCTAAACTACATTTAAAAACAAATTCCTTCGCTGCGTCTGTCTGTTCCAGATAAAGTCAAAAACTACTAGACGAATTTTCATACAGTTTTCGCCATAAGATAGAGTAATTATGATTTAATTGTTCAATGGAGGAGTATGATAGTTTTTACCCTCGTTTAATAATAAGGGTTGTTACGGACACTATAATCTTTCTGTGACAGACCGATAGTTAAGCGAGGGAAACCGCAGGAAAAATCTAGTTAGTATTATTATTTTTAAAACCATTACTGCAGGCTACGGAGGACATAAAACATTTTTATCGTTTCTATCGCGGTAAAAACCCTTTGTTTTGTTGGACGCAGTTTTTAATTTATGCTAAGCCTTTTCCCATTTGACCTCCATTGCTTTGCACTAGTGGGAGCTTTTAATGCTTGTAGTTGTAGCAATTAAACTTTCACTAGTTATTACCCGCGACTGTGTTTGCATGTTAGTTCAGTAATATAAGAGTCATAGAAGATACCTTTCTAACGCTAACACAAACATTACTATAAGGTCTCACAGTGCGCGTGGACGCACAGGGTGACACACGAAACAATCAGAGATATATTTAACGCTGTGCGTTCGATTTGCTGCTTCACTTAAGCAAGCATTGTTTGAAAATACGGGCGAAGAGTAAAAACATTTATATGTGCAAAAGTGTAAATAAATAAATAAATAAAAATAAAAATAGGACACGTGGAAATACAGGGTTACGGATTCATACTGAATGGGGATCTATCTGTTTAGGAAAAGACTTGACAACAATCCCCCATATAACATGAAGTAACTCGGATGACGAAACTATAAATCAGTTTAACACATACATCGCAATAATTACATTAACACAATGAAGATACACCAAGTAGAGTTACCTCATTTATCTAAGAGTTATCGGGGTTTGGGAAGAATAAAAATCACTCCAGGATTTAAGCTAATCATTTGCTAAGGGATTTCTATATAACCAAGGAACTTGGAGTCTCCTAGGAGAGACAGGGGCACTTACACAGGGTGTGCTTAAAAAGACACTAGCTCATCATCATTCTTGCTTCATCAAACCTCTGATTACTTTCGTTGCGGGTCCAATGACTGTTCAACTTTCCCCCGGAAAAACTTGGTCTTCACTGGTTGGGTTTTTATTGGCGGTCAAGCTGTAGACCCTGGCTACACAGGAGTTGCAGCGGTGGGAACGAGAGGTGGGAACAGTCTCTTAATTTGTGATGCGTTCTTTGGTCTTAATGATCCTGGCTACACAGCAGTTGCAGCGGTAGGAACGAGAGATGGGAATTATAGTTCCGTAGTTGGAGGTATTCGTCCTTTGGCCTTGATGGGAAGTGAACCCACTGCGTTTGATTCCATTGCGATGCAAATAATAATAACACTGTTTGTCAAGGACCTCTCTACAATAAATCACAAGCCTAGCAATTATAAATACATGATACTGTGTTCAACTAATTGGGGTCAGTTTGCAGTGAAATGTTTCATAATTTCCATAATACCACATGGTGTAGTATGATATGATAATGTTGTATTAGCATTAAAAGGTCGTACGCATTCAGTACCGTACACTTACTAAAATCAAGTGGCAGTGGGCGGGGCACATACCTAGCTCGCAGAGCTGATGGCTGCTGGGGCAGAAAAGTTCTCGAGTGGCGACCACGGGCCGGAAGACGTAGCGTGGGCAGGCCCCCCACTAGGTGGACCGGCGATCTGGTGAAGGTCGCGGGAAGTACCTGGATGCGGGCAGCGCAAATCCTTGGGGGAGGCCTTTGTCCAGCAGTGGACGTCATTTGGCTGAAACGAACGAACGATCGTGCTATTTTGCAACCAAATTGTGCAGTTTGATTTGCTGTTGGCTGTTGTACGTTTTGTTAGAACAACGATAAACCTGTGTAATAAATTTAGATGAAATACCGTTGCAACATAATCTATGACGCGCAACATGCAACGTCTGTTGTCTAAAAATATACCATCGGAGTTTAATAGTATATTTTATTTAGGTATATCGCATGCGCGCGTAAAATACGTGTAAGCTCTATATTTTATTACAATGTTTGGAGTTTGTTATGCTATTTTAATATAAGTATTTTAGCCTTTTCAGTATTTAGTTAGTATCTACTTCATCATTAGAGAAAGGACAAATCTGACAACATCATAAGTAGGATAGCTTGGATATTAGGAAGAAACAATACCGCTGTTACATGTAACAAAATGTTAATTGGTTAAAAGATACAAGTAACAACATAATCACAAAGATCTTTTACTATTAGAAGCCACCAAAGTGCGCAATATTGTAAACAATCGTGCGTAGCTTTTGCGTAACTGCTTTCACGCATGTAAGTTCGAGAACATTCTATGAATTACTTTTTGCATGAATCCACTAGCTAGTGTAACATCACTGCTCTGAACGTAACGGGACGAGTCTAATCCCACCACTGCAACTCCTGTGTATCCAGGATCTACAGCTTGGCCTCCAATAAAGCCTACATAGTGAAGGTTGAGTAGTCCCGGGGGAGACAGTTAGCTACAGTCTTGAAACCCGCAACGAATTTAATCAGAAGAATACCTAACAAGCGGAATTGAAGGTAAGACTAGTGGAACATCACCTTGATTTAAGGGATGACGCACACTTCAATTTGCATTAACCTCCACCTTAAGGTGGTCTGAAAAGGTTGCTTTTAGCATAGCTTTTAGACCGACAACGTCAGGGTCTCTCATGGACTTTTAAATTTCCCTGAAGAAGTCTTTTAGTCGTTTAAATTGGAAAAAAACAAAATTTACCAAAAACAATGAAGAGATACGGGATTTACCAACACGTTTGCTACGGCTTCCGCACTCTATGAATGTTTAAAAAAAATATCTGCAATGGTAGGTACACTATAACGCTATGGGCTTCAGGATAAGAAACCCATGTCTACGTCATACTTTATTAAACTACAGCTAGTTTAACTGTGCCAAGAATGAAATTGATAAAAGGAAGGACAGTTTTTTTGGCATAAAGAATTGGAATAAAATAAATCTTCGAAGATTTTTCGAAAAGAGAATAAAATAAATGTGTACCTATTAAACTTGTAGATAGGTAGTTATTTAAAGAAATATCTGTATTCTTTAGAACAAAACTAGAGGCAATACAAAGAAACGGCATAAACTAAACTTACTCGGAAGCAACAGTTCCATTGTTTCAATCGCACTTAACTTGGTCAACACAGAACTTTATTAACTGCACTTTATTTTAAACCTTTTATTCTTTATGAAAAACACAAAAACTGCACACTACACACACACATCTATAAAAATAACTAAATTAATGTCCCCAATTTAAATTAAAAACCTTTTTATTGCACTATTTTGACACAAAATTTTGCACTATTTGGCGAAACTTGCTTTTACCCTAAATTGGTATCCGAACTTTTTAAAATGGTCTCAGAGCTTTTTATTATCGAAGTAATATTCCACTGAAAATCATTTACAGGAGCTTAAAAGCCGTGTTGAGTCTGCGGAATGCCGCAGGCGACTGAAGGAAAGCTGCAAAGCTAAAAGCTTTCGGAAAAGCTCAGGGTTGCCAACGAGGGGAAAATAATGGGGAGACGGGTAATGTGGGGCAGTAAATTAGCTATAACTTGCGTAGTATTATGGCGTCTTTTGTCGATGAAAACTACGCGTTTTCCATTGTTAATAAACAAGTCAATGTATTGATAACTTTTTATTATAAGAAAGTAGTTACTAACACGCGGTTAATAAATATGCAGTTGTAAGTACGATTTACAAATAAAATATAATGTAGTAATACTTACTATGTCCAATGTCCAGTAATTCGATTTTATCAAAGTTAATTATTTTATGTATAAATGATTAAAAAAAATATAAACAGGTATTAACGCTATTTATATTAATTACTTAAATTATTATGCAACGTGAATTTTTAAGAAACGTCGGACAAAATGCCAAATTCCGACTAAAATAGGCGAAGAAACTGAACTGACGCATCCTTTTCATTGCTGTAACGTTGAACCTGTCCAATGGAATAAATAAATAACCATCCTTCTGGCGCAGTCGGGTAAAAAGTAAGGTAAGCTGCATAAAGTAGTGCACACACCTGCAATCTGCATAATTTTGTTGCAGGTACTTCCTACACGATTTATGTGACAGCCCTCGCGAGATTCGCTGTGGTTATTTACTATTGTAACCTTGGCTTCATATGTAGTTTTCTGCTGAATACTCGTAACTAACTCGATTTAACGCCTAGCGCAGTTGGATTCAATTTTTCGAAGTAATTCAAATATTTTCTAGATATACAGGGTGTCCCAGAATGGGTAAATCAAACTGCTAGGGGAGGTAGCTCTACTAATGTACTATCCCTAAAAAATATGAAAAAAAAAAACTCAATACGTATTATTATTCATATTATCTTTTCTCTNTATCCACTGTCGTGTGAAAATACACAGTACGGCCGCATGTGCCAGTCGTAACATAGTGCCGTGCTCGTGTTCTAATGCGGTTTCCTATTATCGATAAATAGAAGTAAATTATAATTTTCTATTTTGTAATTTTAAATAAAAAAATGATGTGTTACTTGCGATTATAAGATTATACAAAAAAAATAATAACAGTAGAAGTAATTAGTAACTGTCAACTATGTAATTACTATAAGAGCTAGTTGAAAGCCTAATATAGGCATTATTTTTGATAAACATATGCGGTACGCAGATCGCCATAATTAAAAAGTAAATAGTTAGTGATAGTAGTTAATAATAACGTATAATAATAAAAAGGTTTTCATACATAAGCATTTTGTGAAATCAGTTTCGAGCCTTGCCCCTAGCGATTTAAAGTATCGATATCTTGTCAACTCCATTTTGTCTTTGTTCTCTCACTAGTTTTCAAAGTGTGCGTCACGTCACGCGGCCATTGATTGGCCATACGGCATACCTTCTGGCCAATCACAGCACTTTTAAGCCGGTTGCACATGTTGTCGTAGACTCTCAGTCGCTTTGTTTTTACACAGTTGAATGTGCGTGTGGGAGCTGTGGTGGGGGAAATGTGGGGACACTGGTTCTCGTTGTAGTTACGCGCGACTTCATATCTATTCTCTTTCTATGATCTGAGATCTTATCTAAGTCTGTCGCTATATCGTTTCGGTAGTTGAGGCACAAAATAAGAACCCTAGCGCGACGGCCGCGGCCGAGCGTAGCGATGCAAAGCTAAGTACTTAATATGAGTTTATCTTGTCTTATTTTGTGGTTGAGGTAAGATAGCCAGTTCCTCTATGGTTGAGGGTTTCGGGTGAAGCTCGTTTCTATCTTTAGCCTGATCATTACTGCTATGGCTAAAATGATAGCATTATTTATTTGCTATCTTATTATCGTAAAAGCTTNAAAACTTAAGTTTTTTGTACAGATCCGCATCCGCATCCGCATCCGCGGATGTGAGCCTCTTTAAATCCGCATCCGCATCCGCATCCGCGGATGTGGAAAAAAGTGGATCCGCAACATCCCTAGTCTGGATGTTTGTTACTCTTTCACGCAAAAACTCTGAGCAGGAACATTAAAGCGAGCCGAATCCGAGCCCGACTTTATACTCGGAATACATAATTTACGGCGGGCTCAGCGTACGTTTAGTTTTATGGAGTGCCTCGGAGGAAGGATATGATTATGGAACTCTTTTATTTCATGTAATTAGTATTTCGCCAGTGAAGAGAGAGATTTTTATGCTTGAAAATCTTACGAATTCATCCCTTTGGAGTCATTCAGTTGATTACACTTTTTTTGGGGACACAATCACTATTTTACGCAAAATTGAAAAGGATACAGTGGTTCTGTGGTCATTAAAGATGGTTTCAGTTGATCATATAACTCTTCATGCTCGTAGTATCATGAAGTTCCTTTCCTTCGACAAGATCTTCCTTGGGCAATACGTTTTATTATTTTTAAAGTGACTTGCTTACGACAACGACTTTCAAGCGAAATAAATCATTTTGATTTGATTTGAACAAGTACTTAATAGAATCTGACGGTACTTTAGGTAGATCCACAATAATAAAAATACTAAAATTAATACCATTTTCTTTTAATTCCCATAAGTAATAATCAATAAATTAAATATCAATCACATCAACCAGCAAACATTATAATTTGCTTTTAATTCTCATAAGCAATTATTATCAATAAATTAAGCATCAACCAGTACTCATTTTAATACAAGTGCGTAAACTGAACTAAGACGATAATGTAGGTGACGCAGAAGTTGCACACGATGAAGGGCAGCGTCCAGTCGAGCGGGATGACCTTGCAGACTGTGAACCGGAGCGGCCGGGCCTCGATGTAGCTGATGAAGCGCTGGATGTCTTTGGCGTGCTTCTGATCTGGGATTAAAAAAAGATACTTAATAACAATACTTAACAGACGCTTCATACTATGGACAAACTTCAGAAAACATAATTTAACTTTATATGAGCGTCCACAGCATGACGCTATGAAGAAGAGTTTAAAGCTTTCAAGCTTACAGAGATTGATGATGATAAAAAAAATGATTTAAAAGAAAAATCTGAAAACAACATTATCAAAATCAGTTCATTCTAGCCTAGGAAGATGATGACAATACATACAAATAAAGTTATTAAATCATACCTCTTTCCAAATAAAGTTTGTCGTGTAAAATCAATTTAATTTTCTGAACCTCTGCCACCAGTAGCCCTGCAGAGAATGCCGGTGAGAAGACCACTATCAACGACTGGGTAGTCGAAAGATACCCGCCAAAGTTGGTACTCTGAAACATTTTACTTTGAAATATACCGAAAACTATAATATTCATATTTTAAATTGTGCACTCTTACATACGATGTCTTACCCATGTTCCATCAGAAGTTAATTGCTTTAAAGTAAAAAAGATTGACGCCGTGCATTCACATGTATTGAAAAGTAGGGCCACTATGCACTGAAACGAAACAAATTGTGTCACTATTTTAGTACAAACTTTGCCATCAAATCTTATGTCTATTCTGAATATAAAAATGAACTTACCACGCCGTCAAACGTTTCTTTAACTTTCTCCGTAACCTCAACGATAGTCATGTAAAGTTTTTGATAGTAAATAATATTTGTAGAGTTTTTGACGATATTGGTGAATTTTTTCATGCGACGATAAACAAAATAGAAGAAGAAGAAGATTATAATGAGGACAATATCCACGCACAACAGAGGTATGAAAAAGACAACTCTGATGACAGTTATTTTAATGCAGATATTCGAGTTTAGAGCACAGAAAAAAACCGCCAAGATGATTCGAAACAATAGAGTAAACAAACATGATATAATAACTAAAATGTCCAAATGGTAGGAATCAGAGTCAATGCCGATAGTGGAATCAAAAGAAGTCAACTCCTTTTGTAGCGTATAAAAGGATTTTTCAGAATCGGAGAAGAGCAGAACCATGACGTAAAAAGTATATTCCAAGCAGAAGACCGAATACCACACTGAAAGCGTCATATCGTCCAAGTATAAATAGAAGCAAATTACACATGCAAGAGCAATGCACAGACATTGAACCAAAGTGAAAAATTTTATCACCCATTTTTGTCTTATAGATGTGTATTTTGCAAAACCAAAGTCCAAAGAAAGGAACAATTGAAGTGCTAAGAATACTTTGGTTAATCTCTTCGAACTCTTCTTCTCTCTATCTTTTGTTTTTATAAGAAAGTTAATTTGTGGGACTACGGGATACGTTTTTTCGTTCACCATTTGGAATAATAAACAGTATGATCACAACAAAAGATCCTTTATGATACAGTAAAACTTGAAGAATGAAGGTACTACTTTAAAAGATTATAATCCATTATAGTCATTTCATTTGAAAAGTAATAAAGTAAAACCGTTTTCGTTAATAAGAATGATGTCTGTGTAACACTATTAATGTCCAATCAATACCTAACATAAGTACCGTATGCACAGGTACAAACATTAAAGTAATGACGACATAGATAGTCCTACTAATATTATAAATGCAAAAGTTTGGATGTCTGGATGTATGGATGTCTGGATGTTTGTTACTCTTTCACGCAAAAACTCCTGAACGGATTTTGATGAAACTTTACAGTAATATTGTTTATAATCCAGAATAACAATATTATAGGCTATAAATTTATGACGATCTGTGACAAATGAAATTTCACGCGGGTGAAGCCGCGGGCAAAAGCTAGTAAATTATAATATTAAAAATGCGATCCTGTTTAATAACGACTAATAAAGGAGACGACGACACAATATCAAGCTTAGCACTACGTATTTTGCGACTAACATAGTGTGATGAACTAGAACAAATTAGTGATCTGCACAACAATGATCTGGTAAGTGATGCAGAGGTCCAGCATGGTGACCGGCAGCGACCAGTCGAGCGGCACCACCTCGAGCACGGTGAACTGCATGGGGTGCCCCTCGACGTATGCCAGGAACTCTTCCAACTCTTCATGGACTTCGCCATCATCTAAAATTGAACAATATGCTATCAATAGACACAAAATATTCTGATCGAAATTCATACTCAAAAATAAAAACTATCAAGTTAAACTAAATTAAATTTTTATGTGACCATTGTTATTTTCTGCCCTTTAGTATTGTTCGTTCGTTTCAGCCGAAAGACGTCCACTGCTGGACAAAGGCCTCCCCCAAGGATTTCCACGAAGACCGATCCTGCGCCGCTCGCATCCAGGCACCTCCCGCGACCCTCACCAGATCGTCGGTCCACCTAGTGGGAGGCTTGCCCACGCTACGTCTTCCGGCTCATGGTCGCCACTCAAGAACTTTCCTGCCCCACCGGCCATCAGCCCTACGAGCTATGTGCCCCGCCCAAAATACCGCAGTGCCTCAAGACAAAAGTGTTTAACCAGTGTGTGTTGCCAGTGATGGTATACGGAGCTGAGACGTGGTCGCTTACTATGGGCCTCATAACAAGGCTCAAGGTCACCCAAAGGGCGATGGAGCGTGCTATGCTCGGAGTTTCCCTACGTGATCGAATCAGAAATGAGGAGATTCGTAGGAGAACCAGAGTGACTGACATAGCCCGCAGAATCGCTAAAATTTCCTATCGAATAAACAGGAACCATTCAAATCGGACCAGAAATCTTTAAGTAATTGGTGTATGTAAAGATTGTAAAGATTTTTGGACGACACAATTGTCACGATTTACGATGAAAACGATCAAATAACGAAGTCCAGGAAAACTAAAAATGCTCATGAAATAAAAACTACTCAGTCAAATTAAATTAAATTGAAATGGGACCAAATGAGAGCTATTTTGCATCGATTTAAAAAAGAATTTCCTAAATCGGATTAGAAACCTCGGCGTAATCGGTGTACATACTTTTAAAAAAAACATACCAAACGAATTGAGAACCTCCTCCTTTTGTTGAAGTCGGTTAAAAATATGCTCAGAGTGGCCTACAACAGCATAATGTTCAATGGCGGAATGTTCGCTGTTCCATTAAAGTGAACTACAAAATAACTGTTTCACTCAAGTACCTCTTTCTAAAAGTAGTTTGTCGTGTAAAAGCAGCCTCAGTTCATCAACTGCCGACGTCACCATACCAGCCGCAACTGCGGGACCACACAGAAGTATGTAGCTTTGTACTGTATACAAAGTATGCAGGATAAAGTCAAAAACTGCAAATTCCTGCAAACACATTTCAAATTAGAAACCATAAACAAAAAGTGCCTATTAATAATGTAAGATATTGATCTTCTATTGTAAACGTAATTATGAATGATCTTACTGCAAAATGCTGAGATTTCAATGTCGTCAAGCCTAAGTAGATCGACACAACTAAATCTGGAAATGTGACTGCTAATGCAAGCACATACTGGAACAATAAAATGTTGTATAAACGTGTGCACAATCACGATTACAATTTTAAACACATAATACTTTACTTACCAAACAATCAAAACATTTTTTTGCTGAGTCTATCGCTAGAACAATGTTCTTATAAACTTCCAAATAATGCGGTATGCGCCGATCATCGCTCCTCCTTTTGAACTTCGATTGAATTGAACCAGTCAAAGTTTTGATCCGTCGATATACAGAATAGAAAATAAAGAAACTAATGATCATGGTGATATCATAAGTGAACAGCTGGAGTAGGTACAAGTGCCAGCCTGAATTTCTGTTCAAAGATGTATCAGTACTCAACGTAAACACAACAATAAGTACGATTCTATAAGCACACCATAATACACAGCAAATGATCATAATCAAATTCATGTTAAATGCAGGACTCTCAGTTGACAGATTTGTATCGATCGATATTAATGCTTTTTGCAAGTCACAAAATGAACTTCCATGCTTGAATGCGAAGAGAATCAATGAATTCGAAAAATAGAGTAACGGTCCTAATATTGTCAGGTACTGAGTTACGGCGTCTAGATCCATTGTTGCTGCCGTTCTCGATGCTATCAATGGGATTTGAAACGTCATTAATGTGTATGTACACATACAAAAGGCGTATGAAATTGTTAAACATGTTAATATTCTATTTACTTTTACCGATGGGAAATTAACAAAGCCGAAGTCTAGGGATAAAATTATGAGCAGGAGAGTGAAGAATATTTTATTACATTTGGATATGTTACTGTTTTGGTTAATGTTATTATGATTCGGCATATTGGGAAAAATTATCATCTCTGGATAATAAAATCACTTGTACTAAAACTGGTAAGGATATAGCACTACCGCAGTACACACACTACTCAGTGTAATGGATTACATCTACGAGCACTCAAAAGCTTAACAAGTAAGTAGTTCCGACCAATAATGATTACATTATAAGGTACCACTAATACATTAGTATTTCAAGTAGGAAGTCTTCATAAGTAACTATTAACCTTTATTAAAAACTGTCAACGGAAGAAAAATGAAATTAACTTGTATTTTTTAAATATTCATTTCCCAATTTCAAATATTCATGCCATCCTTCGATGATAAATATAATGTATACAGGCGCGATCGAGAGAGTAGTGGGTTCCATGCGTTTAAGGGGGGTGGTGGGGTTTTGATTGCCATTTCGAAAAGATTTACCTCCCAGCGTCTTTATGACTGTGATTCGGACTGCGAAGATTTATGGGTGAGCATTGATGTGGTCACTGGTGAAGGTAATGTGGAGAAAATAAATATTTGCGGTGTATATATCCCTCCTCCTGTGCAAAAGCACATCTTTAAACATTTCTTTGATAATTGTAATAGGGTTTTGGAATCACTCAACGGAACGGCACTTGTGGTGGGAGATTTCAATATGAGTTGCATGCAGTGGCATACCACGGAGCATACTTCAGGTCTCAACGCAACCAATTGCAGTAGTATAATGCAAAATATGTTAATTAATTTCATGTCACTTAACAATATGTCACAATACAACAACATTCTTAATAGCAAAAGTAAAATTCTAGATCTGGTTTTATGTAATGGCGTTATCACCGGCATTTCTGCGAATGGTGACCCCTTGACCAACATTGATCATTTGCATCCACCTATTAATTTTTGCCTATCACTCGATTGCTGTGAAATGCTGTCTCCTAACAATGCTCCTAGACTGTGTTTCTACCATCAAAAACAATACTTGTCAAAAAAACCAAGTCTCGCAACTCAGTTGTTCTACGGTAAAAAGTTGTGAGATCCATGTAATACCAAGTCCAGGCCAGGAAATCTTTAACGTTTTACATAAATATATTGACTTGGCCATCGCACTAAATAATTTAATTTACACGTGTTTTCATGCGATGGCCAAGTCAATATTTTATGTAAAACGTTAAAGATTTCCTGGCCTGGACTTGGTATTACATGGATCTCACAACTTTTTACCGTAGAACAACTGAGTTGCGAGACTTGGTTTTTTTGACAAGTATTGTTTTTGATGGGATCTCATTTCTTTTTGTATTTTGTAGACAGCAGTTATGTATCTAGAAAACTGGACCGAAATTGAAAAATTTTACTCGACTTGGCGGTTGCACTACCGTGCCCCCAAATATTTTAGTTTTTCCTTGATTCATACACATTAGTGACTTTTTACAAACGTCTTCAGAAATTC